TTTCCTTCTGTCTCAAGTGTGGGTGAGGTTGCAGCGAGATGTTTTGGAGGAGATGTACAGAACATTGTGTTGCTGTGGCGTCAAGCCGGTGGTCTCCCAGGGTATTTCGTCTGCTCGTCCAGAATGTACCGTTCACACAGGCATGTAGTGTACACCACTGCTTTCCAAAACTGAGTCCCAAAGTACAGCTGATCCTGTTAGTTCTAGGATGCCTGAAGACATCTTCAATGAATAAAACCCAGAATTTGCACCTTAAAACACAATGTGTAATTAAAGATTACATTAATATGCGCTTAAAAATATATTCCTTTACTATTTATTCCTTTAAATAGGTACATATCAATGCACTTAAGGTAAATAGGCTGACCTTGCACTGTGATTTGTTGTTTCACACATGGGTCTTACCTCACACACTGGAGTTTCCTTTGACTGGCATTTCTATCATTTCAGAGGCCCTTTTGCATTTTGTAGGGGACATCACCTCTTAAAATGGCACTTTGTGAATGCTTTCAACCAACACATCGCATAGATCCACAGATCCAGAGTTTTTAAACCACAGTTTAAGTTCATTTCATTGCTGCCTCTCAGCGTTGAGGCTCTTGGTTCAATTCCGGACCTGAGGTGTTATCTGTGTGGAGTTCTCCCTGTGTTTGCATGATTTTAGGCTCTGCTCCTGGTAAATCAGTTAGAAATGGATGATTTTGTTTTTTAAAAATCAGTTAGATTAGAATTTAAAAAAAAAGCCTTACACTCTGGACACTCCACTTAAAGCACTTTACAGGTAATGGGGTCTCCCCTCCATCACCACCAATGTGTAGCCCCCACCTGGATGATGTGACAGCAGCCAGAGTTGTGTCAGTCCGCACGCCAGCTCAGTGGGGAGAACAGAGTAATGAAGCCAATTCATGGATGGGGATTATTAGGAGGTCATGATTGGTAAAGGCCAATGGGAAATTTGGCCAGGACACCAGGGTAACACTCCTAATCCTTTCGAGAAGCACCCTGGGATATGTAATGACCACAGAGAGTCAGAACCTCAATTTTACATCTCATTGTCCCCGTCACTAAACTGGGGCATTAGGAACCATACAGACCACAGGGTGAGCGCCCCCTACTGGCCCCTCTAATACTGTACCTCTTCCAGCAGCAACCCTAATTTTCCCCAGGAGGTCTCCCATCCAGGTACTGGCCAGGCTTACACCTGCTGAGCTTCAGTGGCTGCCATTTGTGAACTGCAGGGTGATATTACCAGGTGCCTTGGTTTTGTAGTTATTAATAGGGGATTTCCAACCTTTTGTCGTACCTTCACAGCAAGTCATAAACATCCTAGATGTTGTTTTCTGTGAATCAACCTAGTAACATTTCAGACGAGAAAATACATTTTCTACTGTTATCTCCTATAGCCACAATATGGAGCAGGCACACTTTTGTCATGTTGTTGCAACACTCCACAGTCCAATATTGGAAAAGAGGATTGACACTGAGACCATGAGAACAGATTCCAGTTTGGGCTTGCATCAGTTTCTGAAAACACTGCCAATATACTGAAGTTACGAACAATCAGAATTCCAGCAAATGTGTTGAATTCTCTTGTACTGCCAAGATTTTATGCAATTCTTCAGGGTGAGACTAAAAATACCACATGTTCATATAACAGCAGGAAAATGATTAGAGGAGACTGGCCTCTCTGTTTTTTTAGTTGGTTCTAATACCTAGAAAGCAGTTAATTTTCCAAGAAGACTACATTTTAAACTGAAATGATGTTTTGGGGAGCATTTCACTTTGTACTGCCTGTTTGGCATTATGAGACTCCTGTGCCATGTAATTTGTGGTTGCTGTAGCACTGTTGGTCTTGTTCTCTTAACCTTTTTTAAGTGTGTGTGTGTTAGTCTGATTGCATACCTGCCTGTCATCCAGACTAAGTAGTCTTCCAATGTGTTGTCTGGACATTGTGTAAAAGTGACCAGTGTCACCACTGGTGTTTAAAAGGAGTCTGGTCCAGATAAGACTAGTAACAAACAGCAATAAATGTGTTTCTTGGTTGGCATAATTCCTTTAACTAACTGTTAAATACCTGTAAGTGCTTAAACATTAATAATGGGAAACTAAATCTGTGAAATTAAAGTGAATAAATGAGCAAAACCATTATTATCTACAGTGCATACATTGTGTACACAACAGCATACTGTATATGATAATTTGGTACTTCTCAGTAGTATGCACTGTCATGATATTTTCATGCTGTGTAACATTTTCTTTTTACTGTAAACTGTGAGGAATCTGGACAGAATGGATTGCATGGATTGTCACTCATATAGGTGGCTATCACCTACTGTAAGTTTTTATGATAGCCACGATATCATATTTATGATAGCCACAGGAAATGCAACAGTGAAACCAGGAGATGGTGATAAAATAGGCTGTAAACTAACAAAGAAGTCCATAGTGCACTGCTTGGGCGAGACCTGGAAAGACACATTTTGGAGAATGACTTTCCATTGATTGATTTGAAGCACACAAAGCACACTCAAGCACATCGGGGACCACAATTTCTGTGCTCTTACAGACATTCCCATGGTTTCTCACACCCACTTAAATGTGAGCATGAATCACAGCAGCCAGCAATCAGAACAAACGCACCCTGACACACAGCTGCATCTATTCACACTGGTCTCCCTGAGGTCAGGACTGCCTTCGTGGCAGGTGAACAACTTATTATACTAACACTGGGAGAATCTGGATGTGACCGTTGGATCAATTAGCTACTGTACCAACAACCACATGAACTAGTTGAGCTGAATGGTCACTTTTTTTCTAAGTGTTTAAGTTCTGGCATGATTACACTTAAAACACTATTGAATAAAATGCATTTGAATATGGTGTACTACCCCAAGATTCCCAGTATTATGCAGTGCAATCCCCTGCATATTTTATAGAATGTATAGGAATTCAGAAGCTATTCAAAATATGACTTTCCACTTGCATGCAAATGGAATATTTCTTGCCGTCTGTTGTCCTCTGTCAATCTTCATTTTATAAATAGCTTAGAGCCCCAACCGTCTGAGAGTTAGTGACGGTCATTAAACCTGACAATAGTTTTGTTTGAATCTCTACAGCAGGGGTGGACTCTCTACACTTTATACAACTTTATTGCACATCCAAAAAGGGTAGAAGTTTGTCTTCAACAATCATCATAAAAAAGAAAAAAAAACAAATAGCAGTCAAAATAAAATAAATACATGTTTAAAACAATATAGTCATATTCTATGTTTTTTTAACTAAATCTCAAGGGTCTCTTAATTAACGAGCTACAGTAGGCAACACTGCACTCCTCTCTGTGCGCAAAAATAGTGCAACAATACACATATCAAGCTCCGCCCATTTTACACTATCATTGCACAAGAGACTTCTGCAAATATCTCCAGGTCAGACAGACATTATGTCTACCAAGAATGGTGGACTTGGGTTTTCCAACAATTCACACATGCTGGAAAAAATCCTCCTAAAGAAATGAAGCCACAGAAATTTCTATCCAGTTTTTTACATTTGTCTTGTCTATGCATGTGGTAGTCTCCCTGAAGTCTGCACAGACAACTTGAGGCTAAGAGCTGAGGTGCTGTATAGATAGTTATGCTTGGAAAACTATTCTTTCATCTTGATCTTCGTCTGTAATCAGTACAGAGAAATACAGTACAATCTGTTGAACAAAACATGTACTGTATATTATCCACAGATCTACAGTAAACTCAGCACAGTTTAGGCACACCACCTAACTGCGCTAAGTGTAAAACCCAGGTCGGAAAACATTTCCATTGTTTATGGGAATGTACTGTACATACTGTGTATTCAGAGATTCTAGCAGAAGGTAAAGACAAAGGTATCTTTGATCTCTAGAGTGAATCCACAAAAAATACATTTGAATTAAAAACTGTTCCAAAATAAGAATTTCTTATGTCTCAGCCCCCTCTGGTGGAATTATTTCTTCTTTATAAAGATTAGTAGAATCTGTAATGTTACCTTTAAACTCACCTGGTATTGGTTTATCAGTTCTGGTTCTTTAAAACAGATTTCCTTTACTATTCCTGAAATGCTTATTGTCATGCCAATCTTTAAACACAACCTACCACAGATTATCTCACATGTGGTTATTTGTGGTACCTCACCCAATGCTTATGGGTTTAGCTAATGTACAATGAAGCACGTTCTTACCCAAACTCAGAGGATAATTCTGAGTTTAGAATATAGAAAGCCAATAAACTCCAAGGGTCTAGGGGCGCAGATACAGTAATCAAATTGTTTACTACCAAGTGAAAGTCAATTTTATCTAACCTATCCTGAGAGCCTAAAACAAAAAACTAATTTGTATAAAAGTGAACAAAGCATAAAGTTACATTTAGAGATAACTCCTTCAAAATATCTGATGGTTGGGTACGATACTGTACCTCCAAGTTTGAAAGCGCTCTTTTTGAAATGTCTGAGAGAAGACAACTGTGCAAGTAAGATACAGATGTGGTTACACCTGAAAGGTGACTGATGAAGTGAATGATAAACTAGGTTAAACTAATAT